GAGAGGGTGAACGGCTGGAAAGTCCGGGTGGTAGTGGAGAACCTGGCGGTATGTTGTGTAGAATGGCCAGGTTTCTGCTGGAGAGTGTGGCTGTGGGGTTGATGCGGTATTGTCCTGGGAGCCCGGGGGCGGTGGTAACGAATTGAAGGAGCCGACGAGCTTGGGAGAGGTTATCGATCAGGCGGTCCAGCAAGATCAGGTCACCGCGCATTCGGTAAAGGAGGTTGTATGCTCTCTGGTCTTGAAAATAGGTCTGGCTTGGCATAGGTTCAGTGTGGAATGGGTGACGGCGAAGGTGTTGGTTGACCAGAGAGAGGAGGTCCAAGGAGCCGTTGAGGGATTGAAAATCGGGCTGAGTGCTAATCGACGGTTGGAGCCAGCTCGGAGGGCGCTGTGGGAGGTAGTGTTCTGTGTCGGCGGGGTTGCTATGAGGGCGAGCGCGAGGATTGGCCATGACAATTGATGGAATAAAATGGCGTACAAAAGGCTGCGGAGCTGAAGTGAGCCTGAAAACTGACAAATCGAAGTTGGGCAACCTGGTGAAAGTAGACTGGATGTGAAAAACCAAATGTCAGTGCGGGTCAGTGGATTTGTCCTGCGGCACGCCGTAAAGAAAGGTGGGTGAAACGGGTCAAATGAAATAACTGACCACGGGCGTAAGTGGAGATTTCTCCGGATGACTGTCTTCACTAAGGTCCCGCTCAGCAGCCGGCGGCAGCAGCGCAGCAGCAGGAGTCGTTTGATGTGGTGAAGTCGGTGGCGTTGTTATGGGGGAAGGGGAGAAATCCGGTTGTGAATGTGGTGCTGGGGAAACTGCTGGTGATGTGGGTGTTGGTGATGGGGAAGGTGCTTGTCTTGGTGGTGCGGTTGGTAGTGGTGTGGAGAAGAGTTGCTGGTCCTGCTGACGTTGCATGTCTTTGAGTTCTTGCCATCGGGCTTGGCATTGCTCAACGGAGAAGCCCACTCGGCGAGCCACAGTGGTCCAGTTGGGACGAAGTTTGGGGTTTTCTTTGAGTTCGACCAGGCGACAGTCGGCGTCGCCGTCCCAAGCATCCCAGTCCGCCTGTTGGTTCAGTGGTGGTGGGGGTGGTTGCTTCCGCTTGCGTGTTGTGGTGGGTTGTGGATCTGGGGGTGTTGTTGGAGTGTCGTCTGAGTCTTTTGAGGGTGGTGCTGGTAAACGGATGGGTGGTCTGGATGGTGCTGAGTCACAGGATGAGGTGGTAGATGGTAAACGTATAGGGTGGTTGGGCGGAGTTGGAAGTGGCTGAAAGTGTTGGCGGAAAGTGGGATCCGCTTGGTGGCAGTGGTGGAGGAAAACAGTGTGGAGGTGTGCTACAATATCTGTTGCTTGTCGGAGCAGGTTTTGCACCTGCGAAAGTGCCACTGCGGTTCTGTGTATGAGAGTTGAGGTGTCGTTTTGTAGAGGTGTCGGTGTGCCGCTCATGATTCTGAGATGTAGGGGTGTACAGTAGCTAAGAATCGTCACAGGTTGCTGCAGCAGCGCGCCAAAGCAGCCGGACAGCGGCGAGTCTGAGGGAGCGCGTCATCACGAGGCCGTGCATATGAATTAAGCGAGCGTCAAATTCCCACAAGCAAAAGTGCGAATATGCAATGCCGGTTGGACAATCAAGTACATGAGAATCTGACATGTGAAATACTCCATCAAGACAGCCGTTACAATTCGAAGAAAGATGTTTACAGCAAACACTGCAGAGCTTGAAAAATTGAGGGTTCAAAATTCGCGTGGCCGCTGCAGGAGGCTCTTTTTTGCTGCTACAGCAAAGGTTGGGTGGTGGTGTGAGACCAAAAGTGGATGTGGAGGTGGTAGTGGTGTGTAGATGTGTGGTAGTGGTGTTATGGGTCCGGTGGAGTGGAGTTGGTGGACCAGGCCAGTCCTTTGACAATGGCGTGGTCCGGGTGGATCACCCAGCAGCGGCCCTTCTGATGAAAGACTGCACCATGGTGGTCGTTAAGGAGGCTCATGGCGTCTTCCTCACCTCCAGAGGTATATTTTGTGGCAGCACCCCAAGCAAGGAGTGTGATGATAAGGGAATGGGAATTCTTGTGGAGTTGCCAGGTGTTGTGGATGATGCGGGCAAGTTCGTTGTGGTCATGGGGTTGGTTGTGGGTGATGCGAACGCCCTGGGCAAAAAATCCAGGGTAGTTGGCAAAGTGGAGTGTGCTGGGTAAAAATCGGCCTTGGCGTAGAATGTTGGAAATGTTGCCGACGGGGCCTGTGTGGCCTGCGTTGATGTGGGCGACTTCCCGGTGGGTTGATGTGGCGCGGGAAACCGCAGGTGGCTCTGGTGTAGTGGCTTTGGTGTTGAGGAAGGGAAGTGAAATGGCGTAGTACTGGAATTGGTCGTATTGGTGAGTGGTGTCGTTCCACTTGGCGTGGGTATATTGTCGGAAATCGGTGATCTCCTTGTAGGTGATGTTGCAGTCTGTGAGGATATTGGCAATGTACTGGTGTTGTGGTCGGTTGGGATTGTCGAGTTGGGTGGCGTGGAATTCGAGCCATTCCAAGATTTGGTCTGCAGGTGTAAAGGTGTGAAAGTTGGGTGGAGGTCGCCAACGGTTGATTGGGCGACGGAGGACGGCTGTGGTGGGAAATTGAGAGGGGTCTGGGTTGGAGTGTTCGGTGTTAGGGCGTAGATCAATGGGTTGTGGTGGTGAGCGACTGCGGGATGGCGTAAGGCTGGATGTGTAAGTGGATGTTGAAGGCGACCGCCGTCGCCGGGTTGTGCTGTGATGTTTGGAGTGGCGGTGATGGTGATGTCGGCGGCGGCGGCGGTGGCGTCCTCTGTGGTGATGGTCGGACTTGCGTCGGCTCTTGTGGTGGTGGCGGCGACTGCTGTGTGGTGGTTGCGGGGAAGGTGGTTGCGGTGCTGGTGAGGCAGTGGTGTCAGGTTTGTCTGGCGCTGGTAGTGAAGATCCAGGCGCTGGTGTGGCAGATACTAGCGATGGGGATGCTGAATGTTGGGATACGGTAGCTGGTGGGGGCGTGTTTTGGACCGGCAATGGATTGTCCTGGGCAGTCGTGGGGATGGGTTGGATTGGTGGTGTTGGATCCGATGGTGGCTGCTGTTGAAGTGGAGGTTGGACTGGTGTTGAGGCGTTGATGGTTTGTGGAGGCGGTGGCGGGGGCAACGGTTGGAGTGGAGGCTGTGTGACGGGGGGAAAAGCTGAATAGGGTTGCCAAACGCCCTGGGGGATGGCGCATTGGGGGTCTGTGGATGGATGATTGGCAATCGCAGTCTGTTGCTGTGTTGGAGGGGGATGTGCCAGTGTAGTGGGGGGGAGGAAGTTCAGCCGGTGGTGTGGGATGATGTGGTGGCAACAGGTATGAAGGGGGAGGTGCTGCTGTCGGAAATACTGGAGTTGGATGTGTGGGCTGCGGTGGCACGTGACATGGTTGGACAAACGTCCAAGTGGATGGTGTGCCGTAGGTCAGTGCAGTGGCGGTAGGGTTGGACAAGAACGGTGGTGGTTGAAATGGTTGTGGTTGTGGGTGAGGGTATGCCGATGGTTGTGTCGGGGGAAAAGTGGGTGCAGTTGATGGTTGTGGCATCGGCCATGTGGGTTGAGGTTGTGTGGTAGGTAATGGTGGTGGCGTGGTGTGAGCGTAGGGCCACGGAAAATGCATGTCGTGGTCGTAGCTATGGCGCGGCGCGGCGCGGCAGCAAAAAGCAGCGGGGAAGTGCCGAGTTGTATTGTCTTGTTGTTGTTGAAGGTGTCATCTCTGATGTCGATGGTGAGTATGTTGTAAGGTGGTGCTAGATGTGAGCTTGTTGGTAGGTGTGTGTTCATGCATCTCGAATTAAGCTGAAGAGCTGTAATGCCCATCCTTGAGTTCTGTCGATGAAGGAATCGCGGCATCAACATAGCAAACATGGAAACACGCACATGATTGGAAGACATGAAAAAATCTGAATGCTGAAATCTGAAATCTGAAAGTTGGAATCCGAAGTATTCTTCAAGAACCGTTTTTTGGCCCGGCGGCCGGTGTGGCAGTTGATTCTGTGAGGGTGTCGGTGCCTTCCTGTGAGAGTCCAGTGAACGGTGGTGCGTTGGGGTGGTTGCTTTCCCACGCAAGATCGGCGCCCCTGTGACGGGGATCACACTCAGCACCCGAGTGGGACGGCTGAGCGGGACACACTTCGACAATTTGTATTCAGTTAGTTCAATTTCCCGATGGGAAGGATGGCGGTGGAACGGCATGGTGATTGGGTCAGATCACTTGAATTGT